TTAGGAGAAAATAATTTAACATTGTTACTTAAATTGTTTCTGGTACTATTATTAATAGTTTCTCTACACTTCAAAAAAAGAATAAAGGACAGACTTTCAATTCATGTTCTAATGTTAGTAGGAGTTCTGACAATTCTAATGAAGAATTTGACCAGAGTACTGTTTTCTGTTACCACCAGGTGCTATTTTAGATATATTACATTATAATTCACCTAAGCATCTGAGAGAGTATTGAGCAATAGGATTGCATCAAGCAGCAGTGCTAGTGCCCAGCCCTTATTTTGACAAAAACAGCAGTTAACTGATTACAAGACGCAGTGCATACAGCTGCCACACTGAGATGCAGTCACAATAACACTTTCTCTCTGGCATCATCAATCCCACCCAGGTCTCCACTATTTTTTGTGATGTACAGTGGAGGCGGCATTTCCTGCCAGTGGGCATTGAGTCCCTTCACCCAATCCAAGAGACTTCCACCCAGCTCAAACCCCCAATTCCCATGTGGGTGCCAGTCTCCAGGCACAGCCTTGCTCCCTGTGTCACCTTACTCACAAACACACACTCAGACAGGGATACAGAATGGGCCTGAGCACTGGTATAAGCAGAAGATAATTATTGTAATGTAATTTCTGGAATTTTTTAGCCGAGAGGCGAAGGTCCTCTTAATTCATTAATGAGGTACAGCCCCCCACTTAGGTCACACTGCGCACATATTGTGTGCCAGCAGCCACACCACACCTGATCAGGTATAAAAGTTAAGGGAGACCTTAAGGTAGTGAAGTAGGGCAAGTTCTGAAGAACAAAGTATAATTTTGTCAGGACAGGAGGCTTAAAACCGCCGCTTTAAAGAACAGTAACAAGATATCTTTAAAGACCATGGTGTTTGGACCTCAGTTTCATGTGTAATCCAAAGGTCTGCACTTCGTACAGCACAGCATCCCCAGTAACTATGCCGGGGTATTGGTTTCCATAATTGTGGCCCAGAGGAAAGAGTGCCATCTAATGGTCTAGCAACACCACTTACAGCAGCAGCCTGGTTTTCCTTGGAGGTGTCCCATCTCAACACTGATCAAACCTAGCCTTAGATAGCATCCTGAAATCTGATGAGACAAGGCAAGGAGGTGGTAACAGTGAAGGTGACAGAGGACAAGTAAGTCTTTGACATATTGTGGGATCATTACAATGTCAATCAATGTTTAGAATCTTGTTTTACTTGTAAAAAAACCCAGAGTGAATAAATTGCATTTGTCCACTGAGGAATATCAGGCTGTTAACTGCCGTGTTTTGCTTCTGACTTTCAAATTTTGTCTTCTTATCCCTTTAATACTTAATGTTAAATGTTTCCATTACTCCTTTTCCCAATTGTCAGCTGACTTTGATCTTTGCTGCATTTAAGTTTGGATTGTATTTTTTTTTTAGTTTAATCGAGGATGGATATTTTGATTTTAAGATGTTTATCTGTCTGAAACAAAAGCTGACCGAAAGAGCACATCATATTATAAAATCTCATGAAAGGGTTAAGCATGCATCATAGATCAAGTTGTATGAATGTAGAAACCAAATGTGAATGATTATGAAAGTCATGTGATAACTGTCAGACCAGAAATGCGTGATGCAAGTACAACTATTGAGTAGTCTTGACATAGGAATGAACTGTTGTGATGAGTGCAGCAACAACCTTCATGATTTTCTGCAGGCATGATGGGATCAGCTGTTCTTGGAAGAGCAATCTTGAGAAATGCATTACATTCTGCCTGTTCTAAGTCTAGTAAAAGCACCTATTTTCCTATGTTGGCGGGTTTGAAGTTCTGATTCATAGATTGAGGTCTTCATGAGATCTGGGTTTTGTTCAGCCATCAACAGGTCAAATGATGTGCTGCAAAGGAGTAGGTCAGTCTGGGACAGATGTTTCTTAAATAATGGAAAATCTGCAGATCTGAGTGATCTACAGGTCCCTTTGTTTTATCACATGCCATTTAAGGACAGATGGTGCCGTTAAAGCATGACAAGCTTTCACTAGCCCTTCACAGCTAAGATTAAATTTTTGTATTTCATTGCCCAAGCTTGAACTGGCAAAGAGCGTTTTGAATAAAAAGTAATGGACTATATTGCTGAGATTTATTTCTGAATCATGTTTGATTTACAGTAAACAAATTAAATTTGGTAAACAGCCATTGTAAAAAATAGACTTGCTGCTTACTGTGAAAGTGTTTGGCATTATTATTATACACAAAAATACAGCTGCATTTCAAGATTGATGAATTTTGAACGTGTGAACGAAAAGCCTGTAGCTCTACAAGATCCATTCAACATGCAGAACTTCACATTACCAGTGTTCCTTGAGACAAAACTATTATTCATACTTAAGTTTACCTGAGTGCTGAATATTACTTCATGCCAGAAAGTATGAGGTGATTTGTTAAATCACCACCATGAAACATTTCATTTTTACAATAGCTTAATGCTCCATCATTAAGCATAGTGGACCTGCTTATAGCCTTTCATAACCTCTTTAGGTTGAAAAGTAGCTGCTTTGCTTCTGCAATGGCAAACTAAATAAAAATAGTTTCTCATTCTTTCTGTGTGTAATCAATTGAATAATGATACATGTTCATATATTTAAAGACATGATAGATTATTATTCAGTTCCAACTTTCATGATAGTTAATCTCTTTGGATAAGCAAACATGTTTAAAAACACACTAAATTGTATATGTAGCATATACATAACTCCTTAAGAAAGACTGGATAGGTACAAAAATGACCACTTTAAAAGACCTCAAGCTATTTGAGAAAATGAGACAATGTAAACTTCTGTCTAAAATCCTTCCTCCCATGAATAAATAGTTGAATTTTTGGACATCATGCAATGGTAATGCCAAAATTAGTCTGGATTCTCATGGAATGATCTATGTTCTCCTAATCTGTGAAAGTCAGAACTTCAGTGTAGAGAAAGAAAAGAACTGGCTAATTCCAAATCACTCACACTACAAAATCGAACAATTCATTGATACAATTTCATTGATAAACCTTAGTATTGTATGTATATTGAATGGACATAGTTACATTTTTTATACCAACTGTAAACTTTGCAGTTTCTATTCTGTGATAAGTCATCTTCTTTATAGATGAGTGTAGAACACAGCAGTGTAGGACTGAAACAGATACGGAACAGTAATATGGCTTCACTGATGTTCTTTAGTGTAAAATATGAATAATATTAATGCAGTAAACCACATAGGCTTTCATTGTTTACAGCTATTCCTGCATGATTTAAAACTCAGTCAGATTTGTAAATTACCTCAATTATTTATTTGTTTGCATTAGAGCACACGACAGCTGTTCATCACAGCATATTCGGAAATGTTTCACAGGAGTCTTCCAGCATTAAAAACAACCCATATAAATGTATGATAAAGTGCTCTGCTAAGAATAAAATAATTATTTTAAGTGTTGTGATGACGTCAAGATATGTAATGATCTATTTCAAAGTCAGGTGACAATATTTTATATTTTATTTTATAATCTTGCCACTCACATTTATAGCTGTAATTGTCTGGCACTTGAGAAAATTATACTGTAACTGCAATTCAGCTGTATTCTTGATCACACTGGACAGAAAACATGGGTGTTTAGTAGTAAATGCAAATAATGTCCTTGGCCAGTAACCACATTGCTTTACTGCCGTAGTTATCCTGAAGTACGTTTATTGAAGAAAATGGCATAAAGAATTTTTAGAAGCTCCTAAACACTCTAATTTTGTTCAGTTTGGGAATTAAGGTAATTCTCTAGTTTCTAATACAGTTTTATATTTCTTTCAAGTATACAGCACAACAGAAGAAGCCTATTTATTCACCTATATACTGTATTTGGAAAACTTAAATAGCTAGCATTTGGATATTGATTGAATGTTTTTTGGCATCATTTTAATCGATTTATTTCATCACTGATCGTGATATACTTGAGTGGCTTTGTTGAGATATTTTTAACTCTTATTAGTGAGTTGAATACGTGTAAATGGACACTTGAATGGACATAAGTTACCTGATTTAACCTGTGTCTAGCCACTACAGAACTTCACTTGTAGTGATCTGTGGTGTGACTGCTCAGAGCTACATTGGTCAAGTCCTCGGGCCTCACCTGCAGATCTTTCTTACAGGCTTCTAGCCCGTGACTTTCACACTAGAGCCCTCTCTTGATGACATGTTAAACAGTATATACTTTTTTGTATGTATTTATATGTCATGTCTGTTTACTAAACTGTTGATGTACTGGCTACAGAAAACAGTTTGTCAAAATGATAAGTTTTGTGAATTGTGCAGTTATATATGATGCTTTACATACTATATATATTATATATATATATTATATTTTTGCCTTTCCATTAATGTGTAATAATACATCTTCCAAGCTCATTTGATATCAAAGTATTATATGGTTCCCTGTAACTACTCCCTGGACATTTACTTTGGCATGGATGCTGTAGAAGATGCATTTCTTTTTGCCTGTGTCAGTTTTTTATTACAATCTCTGCTCATATACTATAACTTTCTGTATGAGAATTTTGATGTCCTGGTTTTTGAATTTTCAATCTATTTCACACACTTACTTCACCATGATGTGTATCTGCTTGTTGTCTGGTGCATAAGTTATTTTGCCAACACTTTGCAGACAGACCACAATTCTTTGCTTCTTTTTGTGAATAGCCCTGAATTGTTGGTGCTCTAATTTGTTGCAGATTCTCTTTCTGCATGAGGCTCAATGTGTTTTCTTCCTCCTTTCATGTGATTTACGTTTAGTGTTGTGGTCCTTGCAATTTGTTGATATCTAGTCTTGGTGTTATAAAGGGGATTTGAAGAAAGGTGATTGTGCTCTGTAGAAATTGGAGATAACGTGATATTGGCCGGGGGTTTGTTTTTGTGTAAAATCTTCAGTGGCATCCAGGGTGCGTGGCATGACAAGCTGGGTTAATGCCATGTCATTCTTGCTTCCTTTTACAGATCTGTCGGAGAAAAAGAGTGACCTTCGTGTATGTGACGACTCAACGTGTCGATATGGGGGCACATGCAGGGATGATGGGGCTGATCTGAAGTGTGTGTGCCAGTTTCAGGTAAGGTATCGTCATACGGGCAGCAAAGCCATGTGTGATAGGAAATGGAAATCATAGACTCATTGAAATTCAAAGTCAATTATGCAGATTCAAAACCATTCTTTTGCATGTCAGAAGATGTAGGGCTCCTGTCTTCAACAGCGTTTAAGTGCCCTGTCATTTTAACATGGTAGCCTTTGTCTTACGACTGTTTTCAGTAGAGTTCTCTGAATAATTTACAGCAATATCTCAGTTTTACATTGCATGCGGCCAAGATATGACCTAATCTATATCTGTTCTACCTCCCCTAAGGAAAGAACAAATACATAATATGTAATTTATGTGAGAAATATTGAGCTGGTCTGTGCAGTGGGTGAACTCATTTGAATTGCTTATTATAGCATAAATATGTTCTGTACAGTGTCTTGTGAAAGTATACATGATTTTAAAGCATTTTTAATCAAAATGTGAATGCTCAAACAGAACACTTTTATTGATGAAATGAAAATGTATGCAAAAACTGCAAGGAAAATGACAAGCTAAAATATGACGATTACTTTCACTGTGCTTCATCATACATAAAATAAGACCTAATTAAAATTGCACTTTCATAATTATAATTCCATAAATAATCTGAAACAATCATGTAACATTTTTGTGTAAACCACAGTGTTTGTAAAAAGAAATTTTGACTCCTAACCCAAGTTTAATTGAGTAAGAAAATGCCACTTGTGAATTAAAAAATATGCTGGCAGTGTAAGAGATTCCATATAGTTCAGCATCAGAAAGTTTTCAGTACAAATAAGAAGTCTGTAAATATTTCTAATATTCTGTACAAAATAAGATGTATCAGGAAAGGTGTCAAACTGATAATATATTTGGAAAACACTGCCCAGACATTTTTGAAAGGAGAGCAGTTAATAGTATGAAGCGTGATTCACCACGCAGCCTGCAACATATGAGGTGCAAGGCTATAATAAGCTTTAGTGTGATAAAACCTGCCAAGTTTCAATTCAGTCAAGGAAGTGGTTCTCTGCCAACGCAATAGAAGTTTGAATTTTGCAAATAAAATGGTGGCAAGTCAGTGACTGTTGTTAATGCAAGATCCACAATTTGCTGTATATTAACTGCACTGTCACTGCAGTGTTAAATACCAAGCTTTGAGTTAATTGGCTTGAACAGGATTGAACAGGAGCAGTTTGTATAAGAAAGTGCAAGCAGTTGGATGACCCAAAGTGGGTGAGAAAAATCATCTAAATTAAACTTCTGAGGTGCAAATCAGAAACAGCTTAAATTGATCATGAAATTGGTCAAATTCCAGTTAGGTATGTCTGGTGTTTCCAAAGAAAGTGTGATAACCTGGCCATCTTGATATGTACAGAAATGATAGTGCATCATACGTTAAAAGCATGCTCACGAGCAAAATGTTCACCATCTTTGGAGTTAATTGTCCAAACAAGTTCTAAACAACGGGTTTTGTCACGAGCTGCGTATCTACATCAAAACAAAAGTAATGGAAATAAGGTGTCAATCTTGGTCTACACAGAAACTCCATTTGGACTCCACTATTCTTCTTATAGGTACTAGAATGAGATTGCTAAATTTTACAGATCAAACAACTGAGCATTTTTGCTTTATGTGCTGCATTTCACAAATTGGTTGGGAATAGGAATAGGAATTATGATGGGCAGTTTTCAGGTGTACATTTGACATTTGATTGACCATGGAATCAAACTTTTCCATTCAGTTGATGCTGCAGTTCACAAGATTTTGAAAAGGTTTTAGATTTTGAAAAGGTCTGGATGTCATCGTGGTTGGTGTTTACCCCAGATTTGGATCAAGCGTAATGGCTTATCTGTTCCAGTACACCTGCCAATATGGATTTCCTTGGTTGCTCGTTCTCTGAACATGAATGGTTTCAAAAGTGAGATTCTCACAATCGCTGTAGGTCTTCACTACTTGGAAGTAACTAAAGAAATTTGTTAGCCTTCATATTATATGAAGAACTTTCAGATGAAAGGAAACCAGTTGGCTCATCTAGCCTGTTAGTTAGTCGTTAATTGAGAGAAAGAAGATTTTTTCAGATTCCATCATAGGACTTCAGTTACTTAATTCAGGCACTCTAAGATGAGAAATGAGAGCTGCACCTCTGTTTTGTTATTGTCCTTTCAGGGCAGTCAGTTATTGGCTGGCAAAATAAAATATATATTTGAAAAACAGAGCTGTCAGACGGTAACATACCATGTGTTCAAATTAACTAACTAATCTGTGAATGTAATTTTATGTCAAATGTGTCTGGCTATAAAACACACAGCTCATTTAATGCTTTGCAGGTTTTGTAAATCTGATAGTGACTTAATTCCAGCAAAATTATTTCTATTGGATTTAATCTATCCATTCCTTGTTGCAATTTCACTCACGGGATTTATAAATTATCTTATCTATTTAATAGCAGCAGGTGTCTGTACATTTCCAAATCATATAGTAAAATCTACGTTTACTGATTTGCATTAATATTTCTTTGATAATCATTAACAAGTACAAGTAATCATTAAGGAAATAAGTAATACATTTCTCTTTTGGTTTATTCGAGATGCAGCAAAAGTATTTCCTTTAGGACGCGGTAATCGCCGACAGCTTCTTGTCCATTATTCCTAGATGTTGACATTTCAAGCCAGTATTAATCCATGTATCTTAAAGTAGAATTGAACAAATAAATGCATTCTGGCAAAATTCATATCTGTACAGTAAAAGACCATGAAAGGAAGTGTATTTTTTTAATCAAGAATGTGGAGCTGATAAAAACTCAAAAAGAGAACACTGAATATGACTTATCAAGATGTCTACATCCAATCTTTGTTACAGAAAACATCAAAAGGGCTGTGCTACTTAGCAGCTCATACAGCTGCTTACACTTAGTTTTTCAAACTTACAATTAGTTTTTTCAATTTCTAATTTTGACATTGAATAATGCAATCAAGAAACCATATTGTTACAATTTAATATTTTGCAGTCTTAAAAAAAAATATTTTATCTAATTTTTAGCTGCAAAATGTTAAGAATTAAGAGACCGTTTTAATGTGAGGGATACAAGAAGTAAGATAACCTGGTATTCAGATATGTCTTGTCTTTTTGATGAGATTGACAATAGCTGCCAATACCACTGAAAATATCCTGCTGTTGGCAGTTAATGTTGATAGAATGTGAATACCATACTCGTGCATATACAGTACATACCATAATGTAGAATTTCATCCAGAAAAGACAAAGTCCTTTTGTATAGAGTTAGATTCAAGCTTTTCGCTATTGTGCAGCAGAAAAAAAGCTAGTATTAGAAAAAACAATGAATATTGTGTGGCACATAAAAAAATAGAATGTAAAAATCAAGATGTGTCACAAAGCCACATATTTCTTGGTAATTCTCCATATTGTTTTTATTTGATACTTAAGTGCTGTGGATAGCCCCTTTAAATTACTTTTTTAAAGTACCTCCTTTTTGCATGAGTTGAAGAAGCCTGGACAACACATTAATTAAACTAAATGCTGTCCATTTCATTGGAACCATGTGCAGGCAAATGGTTTAAAGAGGCATGGAAAATATTAAGCTGGTGGCTGCATTATTTCTGCTCTGTCAGATGCTTTAAGCCAATCAACCAGCAAAACTATCTTATGATGTTGGAAAAAGCATTCAATCAGTTTTATTTCTCTTGGTCAGGTAGTCGTTAAAGCCTGGTTCAGTCAGTATGAAAAGAAACATAGGATTAAATACAGTTGAATTAAACTGTTTTATTGTTGGGAGTAGCTGCTACTGCTATTAAACATGTAGAGTAGGTATATTGCTTTCCTGGTTCTTTAATTCTTTCATTGACGTGTAAGCACATCTGTCCTAAATATTTAATCAATTAATTGAATGTCCTAAAGAATAAGGGACCTGGTACTCCATGTGACTGTTCTCTTTTTCTTTTCTCTGCACAGTTATAAACGTAACCTGGAAAAGCATCTAAGATTGTCAAAATATGAGTTTGTGATTTTTATACTATCCTACGTATCTACAGTTTTAAAGTTATAGATTAGTACTTTCCACTTCTGCGGTGAATTCATATCAATATAGTCCATGGCCATTACTATGCTGCAGCACATGTTCGCACCTGGGATAGGGCGGAGAGCAATATGTTCATCGTTCTGTTGAAGGGGATAAAGAAAGGCAGAAGAACAAAATGTGATAGTCTTTAAAGCAGCATCTGCTATGAAGCAGTGTAGTTTAACAGTTTCCACTGGAGCCAAAAATACAAAAAAGAAAAACAATTACAAAAAAAAATGATCAAAGCTATCAACCCTATGAACAGTTGACTTCCAAATTGTGCATACCCTTGATACGACATGACTTGAAAGTTGGGTTTAGCAAAGTAATAATAGTATATATATATATGTTCTTGCATTTATATAGTGCTTTCCATCCCAAAGGATTGCAAAGCACACAGGAGGGAGTCCAGTTTCTTCCACGTCTACACTAACTCGAATCATGTGCACATCCCACTTGAGAGACATGCAGCAGCCTCTCCACACAACAGATAGGTTGGAGAAGTGAGAAATGAAATACCAGCTGAATTAAGGGAAGTTTAAGGAGGCTACGTTGTGCCAGAATAGAATTTAGTTTCCTTATGGACTGTGCTATGGTATCAAATAATTAGCATTTTACTGGTACACATTCAGTATCTGTTGCATAAATTCATGAAGTTATGAAAAAGTGTAACAATACGTTAGAAAAATAGTATAGGATATCACTTATATAATGGCTTAAATAATGGCTCCTTTTCTAAATATCTGCATCTGTGTTCACTCAGATTCATACTTTTTTGTTTATAAATTTGTACATTTTCAACAAAATGTAAATTGTAATTTTATCCTGTGGGGTGAGCAGCCAGTTACATTAAAGAAAGGCCCTCTGAGAATTCCACAGAGCAGGAGACTGTAGTTATGTTGCAATGCACTAACCACTCATCACACCTGGGAATGTAGGATTGCAGATCCACTGGTGCAAAAAGCACAGGCAGTGCATTACTGAGTCATGGAGAGATGTAATATGGTCAGATCAGTCATCCTGCATCATGATTTTTGCAATAGGATGAGTACACTTGCAGCACTAACATAAAGAACTGAGGGCTTAGTCCCAACAGTGAAGGGTTTTGGTGGTTCTGTAATGTTTTGGGATACATTTTCCTGGCATAGTTTGGGCACGTCCCTTAGAAGGCAAGGTCAGTGCTAATCATATTTAAAGGTACTGAACAATCATCTGTATCCTAGGTTATAGCATTTTATTTGTGCCAAGTGGGGTGGTGTCTTCCAGGATGACTGTGCTTCCATCCACAGAGCACATGTGGTCGGCCAGTGGTTTGATGAGCTTTTTTGGTGTTTTCTGGAATGGAGTTTTGTACCTTCATCCAGGAATGAGTTGAGTTGACTTTCTCAAGGAAGAGTGGTGCACATCCTTTCTGCACAATTCCAGTTGTTGGCAGAATCTATGCCACAGCACATACATGCTGCTGGCCACACATGGTGGCCCAACACCCTATTAAGTGACTTTACCGTTTATATTTTTTGTCCACTGCCTGTTGATTTTAAATGTGTTATCCTAGCAGAATAACAACTTCAAGCACAGCTCCAGATCTGTAAAATGATTAAAAGGATTATAAAATCAATTTTTTTTATTTGGTAATGATAACCTCCAGACCTCAGTGCAACATTTGTGGTATGAACTACAGGAACTTCCCAAAACGCAAACCCAGGTGTTCTGAAGGAACATGGATCTGTATAGAGAAATGCCTCCAGATAAGTGCCTGAACCTATTAAAAGGCTACAGGATGAACTGTCATTATGTTATCAAAGCCAAAGGATGATCAATGAGATCATTGCGTGGGTACAGATAATAGTAAACATTGCATAATAAGAAAAAACATGCCATTATTTTTGACAGATTGTTTTTTGCAATATTCAATAGTAATATTCTCACGAATTTTCAGATTTCCTTTATTTATACAAGTACTAAATGTACACTTACATTTTCTTTTCTAAGAAATTCAGCTTTGAATCATTTTTCTTTGCAAAGTACTGTACTCTACTTGTGTAGCTTAATACTATGATAAATAAATTGCACACTGTACACCAGTTTATATATACAGTACGGGGTAGAAGGAAAACTCACCATGCAAAAAATTCTTAATAAATGTTGATAAATTAAGTTGTGCACTGTATATTATGGTCTTACATATGCTAAATGTAGGAGAGTGGAGAATGCATCGTAGGTTGAGCAGCATTACCAGACATGTTCTCTTTTGATTATTTTAGTTGTTAAATTGTAAATGGGAATAAAGAAAGCACAGAGTCGTTTTTGATTGGTACATGGTTCCTTTGTTCAGAAATTATTTCGATGTATATGATGTTCTTTGAAGTTCAGAGACTTACTATGTAAGGAAGGAAGGCAGAATATATAAACCTCAGTATTTTTTACATTATGTTCTTTTATTTGATCTGTCTGTTCTAAAGTAGTTTGGGGAAACCACTGGTACTACTTACTCTTAAGTCGAAGATGATTAAATATATATCTGAATGTCTAAGGAATTGGCTGTGTAACAATTGTTCAGCCTGTTGAAGAAAGCTAGAGTCAGCATTTCCTACATACTTTGTCCTGCTAAGTATATGAAATACTCTTTATATTTTTCTTCCAGTGCCACAAAAACTACATCCCTGTGTGTGGATCAAATGGAGACACCTACCAAAATGAGTGCTATTTAAGACAAGCAGCCTGCAAACACCAAAAGCACATAACAGTGGTGTCAGAAGGCCCATGTTACCCTGGTGAGTTGGATATACTTTATATAGTCAAAGATTTTATTATTTAGTGCATCTTGGTGTGTCTCAGTCTAGCAAGACTATTTACTCTGTTATTGTAACTGAGGCAAGTGTTGTTTGAGGGGCAGCCACTTTTTATGGTAAGTCTAGCTAGGTAAGTCAAGCTAGCACCTAAATCACTCTTGCACTGGTGTTATATATTGTGGATACTAGTTAAAATCATAAGATATACTAGTCAACACAATTCTTTATTTTGCTTTAGGTGAACAGAATACTACTGACATATTCGAATAGTTTGCCTTTTTGCAAAGATAAGTAGTGCTACCAAACATATACAAGAGTACTAAAACAAAAGTAAAGTATAGCACTGCAGAATCATGGTAAAGGCATTGCAGAGCAATCCTAAGTGGCTTCTCCAAAAGGAGTTTGAGCACTAAGATTCAGATTTCACTGGTTCAAACTTTGGTCAAGTAGCTAGCTGACTGTCACTGGAATTACTTAGGCAGTATTGTCTAACTGACAAAGCACCATTGCAGTAAGATTGGGAATGATCAAAGAGTGTGCACTCTTGGCTTTCTGGCAAACAGCAACTTCTGTGCCCTTGTGGGTTTCCTGTAAGCTTGCCATGACATCAGTAAAATATGCGACACTGCGCCTTTTGACACAGACTCTCCTATCAAGCACAATGGAGCATGCATCATGTCAATTGAAAAATGGCTCTGCAGGTGGTCAAAGGAGTATATTCACATGTTAATTATCTCTCAAGAGAGTTCTGGAGTCCCTACCAGAAACGTGTAAAGCAGAGAAAATACTTTTTACAGTATCCTATGCAAAGTTAATTTGCTACCTAATATCAAGGCTTAAAATTCAATATAAAGCTATTTGCGTTAAAAATATTTGTCGACATGATCTTCTAAAAATGGCAAATGTCAAACAAAGTTTAGAATAAAGGTGTTTTTTTTATATTTAATCTTTAGGTATTTTCTGTAAAAGAACCAAATTATTACAAACTTGAGTTTAGTACCAGAGATGCAATTTTATTGTAGATTATAGCAAGTGCAGTTTCAAAGGGTTGTAATCAAATGTAAAGAGTGATTCTCTGAAGACAGGGATTGCTCCTGCTGATGTGCTTTTGCTCTCCATTCTTCCTCACTGTGCTTTCACTTTTGGTAGGATATAAAGCTTCATTCTTAATTCATTCTCCATTAGGTATTCTGCTGTTTCAAATGTGTACATCTATTGTCATTTAACACTAAGGACGTCATACAGAACAGTGCTTGTGTTATTCAATCTCTGAGGTCCCTTTCTTCCTGAAAATAAGGTCCTCGATTGCATATCTTATGCAAAATACTATAGCACGCCCACTGGCAAAGATACTGTGCTCCATTCTGGCTCACTGGGGTAAATAAACATCCACAGGAGCAAGCACCTGCAAGAGAAGCTGCTTGGGCAGAGATATCCATTTATTATTAATAAAAAATTGATTTTGCTGTTTTTTCCCTCTTTTGAAAGATAAATGCTGGAAGGCCTAAAGCTGGTTTGACTCAAATCACTGCCTGTGAAGAGCCTAACAAAGGTGTTGATTCAGTTTATGTCCACAACACCTAAAAAAGCAGAATCTATATTTTTTCAATATTTTTGACAAGCTAAAATATTGGAAAATTTCAGAATGTGTAGCTAATATTTATAATATTTTTATTTATCTGCAGATAATGGATCTGGTTCAGGAGAAGGAGGTATGTTGATTTATTTGATTTCTCTACATAATAATAGCTTTGTAAGTCAGTAGTAATGGTGACTGGTCACTAGTTTGTTCAGAAACCTGAATAAAAGCCTTAAAAAATGTAACATCCTGGCATGAAAGTGACTATCAGAAAGTCTTGTAACTGTCTTTCACCTGAAGTTATGAATGAGGTGGGCTGACATGTTCTAATCCTCCCACAGACTGAAAGAGACGTTGAAGAGCAAACAAAGCAGAACTAAGAGGGAAATGAGATTTCTCAGTTGCTTTAAATCTGAAAATGTTTTTCATGTGTGCATTCAATAAAGTCACCTTTTAGACCTGATCCGATAAGCATTCAAACCCTGGCCCAGATCCTTTTCACAGTTCTGTAGAAAGAAGTTAAAACAGACATAGCTTTTAATATTATATTAACTGTTATTATGTTATAGCTGTTAGTTAGCTGTTATCATATTATACTTAATATTAGCTTGTTAATATAATAAATGAGAATACAGAGCTACATTTGATGACTGTCCAGGAATAAATTCCCATGCATCAGTCTTATACAGTACGGCATGGGGCATAGTCTTCAGCTGTTGCATAATTTACAAATATATTGTGTACAACCTATGTGATTATTGTGTATTCTCTATGATTGTTATGAATATTAAACTTGGCATGGTGTTAACGGTTACACAGATGATGAATAAATTAATAAAAAATGCACTTGTGCCGCAGCGAGAGTGATTCTGGGAAGCTAGAGGGTGAAAGCTGAAGATCAGTGAGAGTGATCACCATATGGAGGGCTTCAGGGGTAGTAGGTGGTGTTAATGATGGCCGATACTCTACTTAAAAATAAGCTTGATTCCTTTAATGATGACACACTGGGCTTAGAATACAGATGTACAAAGCCTTTGTCTAATGTCAGCAGTTTCTGATAGCAATGCCCATTGGTATTAAATGTTTTAATGGAAGAGAATGATATGTACAATACTGAAAATATTAGATGAGTATGTTAATATTTTCAACTTTGTTTCTAGTTTAATCGGTTGCATATATTGAAAAGAAGGAAGGAATCATACTTGTTTTTAGCACTCAGTTATTTCTCTTCCAAATGTGTGCTAATCTATGTACAGTACCTGCCAGCAGGAGAAATCTTGTTTGATGTTTTTGAGATCAAAGTTTTCCTGTTCTATTTGTCGTTCTCCAGTAACAATGCCAAGGAAAAAGCTTAATGTGTGTTAAATTAAGGAGGACAATAACAACACCGGAGATGTCTTGCTGAACATAAGTGTCCCACTGTGATACGTGCTCATCCTTTTCTATACCTTTTGATACCTGAAATTCTGATCTCTAGGTTAGGCTGTATAGTTTTGGTTCCCATCCAGGGTGCATTAAAAATAAAGCTTCCTTGGCAACATACTGTATTTGTCATTTTGAATAAACCAAAATAACGTTTTCTGTAACGATAACAGAGCCCAGGATAACCCCCTCCTGCTTCTTCTCATAATTCTGTATTTCTGTTACGTGTTCATTTCTGCCAGTACTAAAGAAGAAGCACATGACCACTTTTCAAGGTGATTCCAGCCTCTAATCTCTAATAGCGGTGAAAGAGAAGGGCTCCTAGAGTCGTGATTAAGTGCTGAGAAGCTGCGTGCGTCTGTGTGTGTGTCTGGGTGCAGCAGCACTAATTAAGCTGTGCCAAGCAACAAAAGGGAGAGCTTGCTTTAGGCAGGGACACAGTTCCTCATGGGGAAGGCAGATTGGAAAGGGAAGCATTGAAGTTGTGCAGGCTGCTGACCTGAGGTCTGACAGCCAGGAGCTTAAGGGGAAGCTGCAGCTGCTCTAGCGCCAGTTTTCCCAGCAGGTGTCACTGTGGAGAAGGAATTGCCCGAGGCCATCATCTCTGGGGAGGGAAAGGAAAGATAACACAATCAGCTGCTGTCAGTGTTAAATATTAACTAACAAGAGGTGGAAGCTGAGAGGGAGACACATATCACAAAAACACAGATCAGTACTGTGAGAATTTAAAAGTCTGACCACAGTGTCACAGCGTTTTAAACTTTTGTGATGATCTAATAAGAACATCACGACACTTCCCACCTTTTGATTGTGTGCATGTCCTTATGTAGAGTGTTTAGGAAGCAAACGCTCTTGAGTTCTCACTATAAGGCTCGATGGAATATTTCAGCTAAAGGCTATATGCCTCCAAAGCATCATTAGCAGATTTTTTTTTCAGATCAGAGTAGAACAATGTGAATGTCCTGGGTCTTGAGGGTGTGGAGGAAGAGCAATTATAATAACTGTTATAGGAATGAATCGTGTGGATACTGCTTCACATTTAGTAACTAGCCTTTCCTTCTTGCTTCATGGCATTTAGGCTGGAAAGAGTAAAAAAATATAAAGCCAAAAAAGAACTAGAACATAAGAAAGTTAGAAAAAAAACAGATGCCTTTTGGCCTTTTGGAGTGTTATTTAGTAGCTTTGACTCAGTCATTTAAAGAAGTTGTCTTGGGCAACACAGCTGGGTAGCCAGAACCCAGATTCCAGTAATGTTGTGCCTCCAATTCTCAGTATAACCAGCATAACCGGAGACACATGCTTTCTGGTAGCTTTTTTTTATAAATGTTCGAATAGAGAGCAGTACTTACTGAGGTGGCATCTCGAGCCAAAGCCGATACATTTCCTCGCCCGCTAGCCTCCTCCAGCACATCCTATCTCGCCTTGCCGGCATCTTCTTTCACTGAGTCAAGCCATCTTATTCTAGGCCTTCCTCGTGGCCTCTTTCCCTCAATTTTCTCTTCTGCTTCTTTTATTAGGTCTTGATCTCTTCTCATTACATGGCCATACCACCGTAGTCTTCTTCCTTTGACAGTAGCAAGCTGCAAAGGTATAAGCAGAGGTTAATTCCTGATTGGAAAGGAGTTAGAAGAAATGCAGTGTTTCAGATGTGTGGGAGAATGAAGGAGAGAGCAGCAGTATGAGGAGCTATATTAATGTATTGCACAAGGTGGCTGTAAAATTGAGATTTATTTTTAAAGGTTTAATTCCTGTTTTGTGCAGTGATAGAGTCAGCTCCTGAATGACTTGGCCAGTTTTTCAGGGTGGCAGTTTTCCTGTGTTTTACTGCTAAGCCTGCTGCGATATTCAACTTTAATTTGACAAGCTACACACTGAGGTCAATAGTAATCCTTTTCTCAAACAAATGAAATTTTTATATTACGACTTGGCAGTCGACAGAACGTAGCCAATCTCTTGTTAAGCAAACTCCTGGCTCTCTAGTGACAACAATCATGGCATCAGGAATCATTTCTTCTTTTATGTTTTGTTCAGCTATTGCTCAAGTCATATAATAAAGTCATTTCAAACGAATGCTAATTCTCTATTGTTGCCCTGAATTGCAGGAAAGTACAATATCTGAATGTTCTGCCTAAAGAATGGATGTCAAATGTAATAATATCCATAGCTCCAGTCTTAAAATACAGAGGAATTGTATGCTTTAAAAATATAGGCACTACATCATATTAAATGTAATGTTAAATATACAGGTAATACTATCAACATTTAAGTTGATCAGTTTTGGAAAAGTCTAGATGAGAAAAAAATAAATGTTACTTTTACCTTGTGAGACCATATATTACATTGTGTAAATGTTTCACTTCTAACTTATTAGGGTTTAAAAACAGAAATGCAAAATATTATATATAAAAAATGCATAAAACACAGTGATAAATTCTGAAATTGTGGACCTGTATTATGAAAAAGCATATACCCTATTGCTAAAAATAGATGTTACTTTCCCGCTTTTCTGTTTTTATCCAAGGAATAATGACCCCTAACCGTGTGTTCACTCTGTGCTGTGTAAATATTGAGCCCTTTTACTTAAAGTTTTTGGCGGCATTAAATGTGTGTTCCCTTATTTTTTGTCAAAGAAATTGCAGCAAAGATCTCTAGCTGCAAGGATGTACTGTATACTATTGTTTTTTAAACAAAGTTGGAAAATAACACAAAACTACATACTGTAGTGACACTGAGTTTGTGTATTGAATCTGTTTTTGTTACATTGCAGTTAAATTTGATATTGAAATTGATAAATACCGTCAGGCTTAGGACAGAATTTCATTTCATGTTGCTACAAATGAAAATGGCCACTTTATTCCATATACGTTCTATATGGCCACTATAAAAACATACCTGTATATATTTGGCACATAAGTAGTTAGCAAATGATATGAAGAGGTGACACGAGAAGTGGGGATAGCTGTGCTGGTTTGGGAAATTATCCAGATAGGTAGCAGCTTAGCTCAGTTTATAATGGCATTACAGCTGCTTCAAAGAGATAGAGGAGAATAGTAAACCACTAAAGCACAATATAGCGTTGAATGCTCAGAGCTGATTCTGCCACATCTTACCAATAGAAATCCTATGAAAGCTCATTTCCTACCATGCCATTGTCCTTATTCTTCAGTTCTGTATTCCTTTGTGCCTTAATAGCATTTCTTCGAGTACTTAATAATGTACATTATCCGTGTTGTGTTTTTGTTGTTCTACAGAGTATGAAGGCTCAGGCTCAGACATGGGGAGGAAGTTCACAAAGTGTGGTACTTGCAAATATGGAGCGGAGTGTGATGAAGACTCAGAAGATGTGTGGCAAGTCTTTTTTTTTATTGCTTGATATTGAGCTCTGGTCTCTTCACAGATAAGAAAGGGAATGCCTTCTTCCAGAAGTTCCTAGTATTTCTCTCCTGGAAGTCCTGACTGAAAGCTTTCTGTGTGGTTCAAAAGACAAGATTCTGAACTGGGCAGAAGATGTTTGGGAATTAACACAGCTCTAAACACCTTCATTGGTACAGATTGAACGTTTCTGTTGAATTTAACTCAGTGTCTCGACGCTGTAACAGGGCAGCTATCATTGTGGAGTTGGGGCATGAGAAGAAGCATACTAAGGTGTGATGGTTGCTTTAAAGGGTTTTACAAAGGTCTTTGGAAATTGGAGCAATTGCACAGTTGGGTTAGATGCATGCATTTGCACACAGGAACTGCACAGCACGTTGCTGCAGCTGTTGCTCATTAGGCGGTTTCTTTAAATACATTGAGAAAGACAAAGACCCACAGAAAGAACAGACACCTGGTAACATCAGTCTCTGCTTAGAGCTACCGGCTCGAAGGTTAACAGCTGTCTCTTGCGAAGGGTAGCTGGGTTAGGTTAAGACATGGCTGGTTATGTTAGGAGGTTCAATCCAGTATAGTTGCATCACCTGTCATCCACGTCAAAGAATTAGGAGACCAGATGACAGGGAGAGGGGTTTTGACTTACACAATTTAAATACGCTTAGGTATGAACAGTAGGCATCCCTGAAAACATAAATGTGCTTTCTAAAACAGTGTACTTATTATTTAGTGGTAGGTAGGGTTAGGCTTAGGTCTAGGTCTTTTGCTGGAAAAAAATTAAACGGGATGATATATGCAATATCATATTGAAGTCAGAATACAAATGAGTCCTGTTTTTGCAATAGCATATGCTTAATATTAGTATTTTTAAAATCTGTATTATAATTACTTTTTTCCAGTTACTTCAGTTATTTCTTGGAAATATGATATTCTGGTTTAGGACTTTAATGGATAAACATCGATAAACTGCTGTTGGCACTCTTTATGAAGACAGTTATTTTGCAAGGGAAGCTGTAAACACTTTTTTTCTTTCATTTTCTGTAGTAGTAATTGAGATCATTGAGGTTACTGCTACAACTGGTGGTACAGCAATACCAGTTTGCATAAAAGCTAGCCTTTGCTGCTAGAAGACCTTAAAGAAAAATAATTTATAACAGCAAAAATGGGCAAAAAGTAATTTCCATAGAAACAGATTTGTAAGATGTCTGCATTTTTAAAGCAAGAGTAACATAACTATTCAATGACTTTTAAATTGTATTGCAGACAACCTACAGTATTGCTTTGAAACCCTTAACTTATACTGACTGCTCATTTAAAATATTTTCAATGAGTTTATTATTAGCAATGTGACTATGAACTTAATGAGGTTTTGGAGAACATAATCTCTAAAATCGGGGACTGGACTTGCAAATAGGGAAAAGATGGGAATACAGATAATCTACACCCATTTAAAGTATTAAAACGGGGAATTTTCTTCCACCTTGAAATTATTTATTGCAGGTTGAGTGAACCTGTACATGATGGAAAAATAGGTTTTCACCATTATTTTCCATTCATTCTACTGGTGACAGACAGAAAAGTAATAACAGGAAAAGATCTATGAGAAAGAATCCATTCTCTCAACTCAGTTATAAGTGCAGTTTCACAGTTTTCACTTGTGTTATCTGATTCATGTATCATGGTTTAGTCTGAATAATTCCACTGGGTTTACTTGGTCAGTGGTTTTGAAGATTTTGAATACTTGTATTCAGGTCCTTCACAATCCCCTCAAAAGACAAGGTTCAGTTCTTTCATGACATGCTCAAAATTGGACTGCGATGAATTTGCAAAACTCAATTGTAAAAATCAATTCTAGTCACTGGAGTGCAGGATCAGTGACAGCAGCACCTGTCATCTCACATCCACTTCAAATGCTACTGATCAATAGTGCAGGTTCTATTAATTTTACTGATCCACTACCTATATTCACTCTTCCTGATCTGTAAATAAGACAGAATTCTAATGAAACATGGGAATACCATACACACTTAAGTTTAAAAACTTAATATATTCACGTACCTGGAAATGTAGCACATCCTTATCTTGACTTTTTAGGACTTTTGAATCCCGCTTAAAAACATTTTTCATTAAGAAGAAATAATTTGCATTTTTATTTCTGTCCCAGATACTTTCACTATGAACACTGTTATTTAAATGACTTTTCCTTAAATGGTTTTCGCTTTGGATGCTGTTTAAACAGGAATCTGACTAATACTCAAGAATTAAAATAATATTTACAGCAGGTTTCGAGGACTTACAAAAGTAAGCTTATTTGGTGCTTTCTACAGAATCATTTCACTTTCTTTCATTTATTTTGTCCATGTCCTAAGACATTCCACAGTAAGTTATTAATTACATTTAAAACAGAATATTGACATTTTGTACTTTATTACATAATTAAATATAAAAAAGTATTCAAACAACCGTTCTTTAGGTGTCCTGTTGATTTGGAATAGTGTGTGGTGTATCATGAACAAAATTTTACAATATGCAGATGTTTCTGACTTAAAGTCGGTCGCAATCTGACTGTCATCCCTGTCTCATTGATAATATGCCAAATAGAATATTTTATTATAATGCTTTTTTCAGAGGCATTTTCAAGTTTTAATTCAATAATGTGCCTGCTGACGAGAATGGCATCTGAGAAATAACAAAGGCCTGTCATATCATGTTCATCATGCTCAAATTCACCAGCCAACGAAATAACTATCCACCTTTGCCTTTTGTTTGCACAGGTGCATCTGCAACATTGACTGCAGTGGGCACAACGAAAACCCTGTTTGTGCAACTGATGGGAACTCCTACAACAACCCTTGCCTGGTTAGAGAGGCATCTTGTATGAAACAAGAGCAAATAGATGTCAAACATCTAGGGAAATGTCTAGGTAAGATTATGCAAATACTGTACCCTTTTGTGCTATACATATTGTTTTTTTTTCCGAATTCCCCTGGTAATCTTCCAGACATTTATACTCAATAATATACTCTTAAAACGATACATTAAAAATGTTTCCAAAGAAGATATCAAAGCTCTTATTTTTCCTGCAAGTGCTGCATTGCCATAGTCTGTAACTGAGAATCAGACTTCAGTACCCACATCGACACTAAATAGCACAGTTTAAAATATTCAGCTTCAAAAAGCTGCCAAGTGGAGAATAAAACATTAATTGCTGGCAATTATCGCTTGGCGTAAACAGCCCAAGATGCAGAACTTTGCCAAAACAACAAGCAAGGAAATTATTAGATTCCTTTGCCACCCTCAGTTGAGCGTGGCTTTGTGATTTGTAATCAGCATATCGGAGACAACGTGGCCACTGTTGTGTGATGCTTAGTTAAATTGCATTTGGAATCAACATTTGCAGGCAAAAATACTAGTTGAACTCATTTTATTTTTTCCAATTCTTTTGCTGTGTCTGAGGAATAAGGATCTTGTTTTTGATCTGCTGATCTGTTCTTGCTTTTTTTTAGAGATCACACATGATTGCTTTTCTCCGCATAAAGAGTTTTTGCCGCATCCGTTTTCATGTCATTAGACACTCTGCTTAATGGCAGAGCTGTTTATTGAAAACAGGATTTTTCCTGTGTTCTACAATTTTTTTGGTTTAGATTTACTGTTAATGTGATTTTGTTAAAACAAATACAGGAATATTTATGGAGAAGTTTTGTTACAGAGGCCTGGGTAATATCTGAGCACATTTTAAAAGTCATGAGGATGAATATTCTTCAGAAATGAGCAGGCTGTTAATGAATCTGTAGGTTATGTAAGGCCTTTGAATAATTACGCTTTAGAAGATGATAAATTCTGATTGTATATGGATAAAAATATGGTATGAGAAGCTGTCAAAATGTTCTCTCTCCCATAGCATTGTGATTGAATGAGAGCTAATTGATAAAACTGGCCTGCATGCAGTCTATATATCTGTAATTAGATACTATATACAAAATAAACCAGCATCAGAAGGAGAAAAGAAAGTGTTATTGTCGAGGTTTCTGCACCCCTGTCTCTTTTCTAAACACAGACTGAGAGTGTATAAATCCCCTCCAGCTTAACAAGGAAAGTGTTGCCAATATCTGCCTGAGGTACCTTTAGAGGACTTTACATGTGGCATAAATCACAAAGTCATGCATTCTCTTAAGACTGCTTCTAGCTGTAAAACAGAGTTGCATTTTACAAGTAAACATCTTCTTTCATCATAAATTGTTTTGTTTAAATATTTCAATAAAGACACTTATCTCGTTATAATTTGGATTGAATATCTGAAATAACAACTTTCTGTTAATGTAGAGACACCTGAACTGCTCATATTATTTTTACAAAGCAATAAAGTAAAACATTGGTGGTAGATGCTTGTGCTATATTACTACTACAAATTCGACTGGCTAATGCCTTTATCCAAAGTGACTTATATTTGCATCCATTTATAGAGTGGGTATTTTGCTAGAGCAATTCAACTAAAGTACGTTGCTCAGAGCACAACAGTAGTGCCTCACCTTGGATTGGAATACACAGCCTTCTAGTTATAGGTCCAGAAGCGTAACCACTGCTTCACACTGCTGTAGTAATAATTACGGAGTCATTTTATAATTATTATTACATGCAGTTGTATTGTTTACTCATTATGAGTAACACAGAAAAGACCAACACATACAAAAAAGGCAATCAGACAATAATGTAAAAGAGGTGATGACTACTAACAATGGGACAGACGTCTAGAGGGTGTTTGTAATAGGAAATAATAATCATGATGACAGCAACATACTGTAGTGTTCTTTGATGGTTTTTGCAGTGGCTGGGCAGCATCATGTGCCGTATGTGTGTTTTCCTTTCTTCCATCCCCTTATACACACAGCTCAAATGCAAGCCAGGTGGGCTGAGCCCATCCTTTAACTTAATCTGAAAGATGTATATTTCAGATTCCTGCAGCAGTGATGGTGCCTCCTCAGCATTGCTGCAGGATGCTGAAGGCATGGTGCTGCCAGAGTTTTTTTTCCTCCCCTAATTGCTTAATGTCTAGTCTCTGTAATAAACAGCCTCTTAAAGGGTATGTTCATGGCTCACAGTTAGCCAGCATATTCACTGCCTGCAGAGATTTCTTTGTTTAATGTCATTCCCATTGGACACGACAATTACACCACCAGTTTGATTAAAATAGGGCTGCTGGTGTCTGCATATTGTCTTGTTATTTTAAAAAGTGATATTTTATTTTTATCAAACTGCCCATGTACGTATATGTGTTTCAATATATATACTGTATATGGTGTTTTCTGCAACAAATAATTATATATTTGTCTGAGACAAAAATATAAAATGTATATAACAATCATACATCACTGAATTTTTACATTAAGAATTTGTTTTTTTTCATCTTGTGCCTTTTCTTTCACTTGCTGCTGCTTAGAGTTAACTTGTTAAAAATATCGGTTTTGCAAATCATTTTCATATTTTAAGTCTTTTTTTTCTCATTTTAAAATTTAACCTTTTCAACCCTGGAATCAAAGGACCAAGTTAATAACATTACAGACAAACAGTATTTGCGGTTTTCTAAAACCTGCAACTATTGCTACATGGAACACAATACCTAGCAAAAGTGACCAAATCTAAAATGTGTGCTTTGTTTTAGTTTTTTTTTTCCCATGGAGTAACTAAACATCCATTAAATCACAAAATATGCTGGAGGGTGAGGCGATAGTAATTAAAGTTGATCTGGATATTTGAGTGTAAGAATATTGTGTCCATTTGTATATTAAAATCTACTAAAAAGAGAAATCTGTAGTTTATTTTTGCAGAACAGACCTTTTCACTGTTGTTGTTTTTTTTGCAGTGGCTTAGCTGACTATAACATACTGTATTTGGCAAAGTGAAATGAAGCCCACACGTTGCTGTTCATCAGTCTACCGAGCCCTGCTGGCGGTGAAACAGTGACCGAGGGGGTCTTTCGTGTTAACAAGAAACAAACTGTGTTCAGAAAAAAATAAGGATTTAGAAGAAAATCATTCTTGCAGCCTTCTGTGATGAAAAAGAAATATACTGTAACTGTCTAAGGTAGCACTTCGGTCCATGGAGACCAATTAGCAACCATAAGTTCAGTCTGTGTACCAACCAAATGGGATTGTGACTTGAACAAAATGTTTGCATAAGTTAAAAGGTTGTATGTTGCATCACTCACTTAGAAACAGTTAACGCTGGGATGGACAGATCATTTCCCCAATATAGCTGTTTAATGCACTGTTCAAGCGGCATATAACTAAAACCTGTGAAAAACTGAAAAACAAGACCCCTTTTGAATTTCTTTTGCATCTTTCAATAAAGTACCTTTAATAGCTTGTCGACATCATATTTGCAAGAAACAGTTTCTTTTACATAATAATTATGCAATTAAAACTGCTATTAGCAGCACACTAGCAAATTCTGACAGTCTGCGTTGCTGGAGTATTAGCTGCAGCTGTAAACAGCTGTTGGTGCTCTGTTGATTCTTTTTGTAATCCATTTGAAAACTTGTTATTTAGAAGTGCTAAGCACAACCTAAGTATTGTTTTCCCCCAGTCGATAGATTTTTGTTTTTTGCTTTTCAGGGGAAATTCCTGTGTGAAAGTAAATGTTTGCTTTTGTCTACTTTTGTCGAAAGCTCAGGGAACAACAGCTATGCAGGTACACCAACACAGAAATATATTGACATTGTAGCTTTGCTCCCAACCATCAGCTTATTGTTGACCTAAGAATCAGTCAGGTTTCAAACATGCTGTTTTGCCTCCCATGGGTGTCACTGGGATTTTGCTGTATAACAATTATTATGGATGTACTCCGAGTTTAACATTTTTTTTTAATGTGGCTTCAGGTGGTAAAATGTCAGAGTTGGTTTGTAAAATGATTATGGTACCCTGTGAGTTGTATGTTTTACAAGAAATGCAGTTCAGAGCTGTCTGAAGTATTTAAATACAGTAGTTCTCTTAAAGGGGAACTGCAACACTAATTTTTGTATTCTGGGTTAGAAAGAATCAGCAATGATAAGTGCATTTCAAACCACAATGAAAATAAAATGTACACAATAACATGTAAAACGTCTAATTTACATCACAAAATAGACAACATTTCCTAGTATGTGCACACATTGTTTATGATTCAGAATGAGGCAACAAAACTTCTGGTGATGTGTGTGGCTCTAAGACATTGTAAACACATAGGCTGGTGAATACATTTTTTTAATTCAATTGAAATCTTTCGATCTTACTTGTTAACTCTGCATGCAGATCATGTTGGAACATTTCTGTGGTGAAATGTCTGCTGCACAACCTGTACTTATTTGCTCGTACATCACATTACATTAGTCATTACAGTGACTAGTGAGCAGGAAGGGACACTCACATCACAGTTCCGTTAGATGTCCTTTCTTTTGATTGGAATTAAATAGAATAGGAGCATGAGCGTGCAAACCTTTTGTAGCAAGCAAAGAGATAAAACATATTCAATATATATTGGCTTGTTTGTTGACAAAACTTAAATTTTATTTTGGACTTGCTGTCTCCAATGTTCCATTTACAGGAAAATTATCTTGATTCATGTAAGAGCTCTATTTGATTACTCATCAGATTATCGTAAGTGTCAGAGAGATCTTCTATCCCATGTTCGATGAGTTATAAAAGTCTTCTCATCCTCCTGTAGCTCATTTAGGTGTCTAGTATATACTGTGTGAATATGACACAGGGACACTAGCTTTGCTTCAATGATGTAGTTTCAAAGTCAGTCCATTGATCATATTGTATATACAGTACATATTAACTTCATCCAACTTTGGGTCTTTTTGCTCTGTTTACTTCACTCGCTTACTCATTATGCAAAGGTTGTCATGCACATTGTTTTAAGATAGCTGGATTTTTGTAACGTATT